GTACGGGTGACAAGTATAATAATGATGAGGGTAAAAATAACTTCATTTTAACGGCGAGGGTAAAGTCAACTAATAAATGAAAATTGAGTGTAGGTTTTACCCTTTTTCCATTTTATAACTAGGGAAAAAGGACAAATATACACCTGAACTATCGTAAATGGTACACAAATACCCTCCGTCATACTTTTCGGACATTGATATCTCTCCCGTCCAAAAATTAGTGCATATTTGCCCTTTACTGTAACGGAAGAATAATTAGACACAATCTTACTGCTCAACCCGATTTGATCAATTAATTAACTCAAAATTCATATACCCGCCCAACGACCCGTTTAACCCACCTGATACACCCATTACTCACACTAATACTAACCTATTTGAAACCCGTCGCTGTGGTGAAGCCAAAGAAGGCATCGGTACCGGCAGCAAAGAAGAAATCCACCTCCTCTTCCACCGTCGTTGTTGCCGCAAAGTCGAAAGCAACAACCCCAAAGAAGAAGGTTGTAGTGAAGAAAGCCAAACCATCAACAGCAACACCAGCAATGAAAGCGAAGAAGACGGTTACTGCTCCACTTAAAGCAAAGAAAACTCCGGTGAAGAAAGTTGCAGTTGCTAAAGTGAAGAAAACTCTGACGAAAAAAGTTGTGAAGAAGCCAAAAACTATTTAGTCTCCAACAAAGAAAGCGAAGAAATGAAGAAATTAATCTAAATTGGGTGTTTGAATCTGTAAATTAATTACTTTTACATTTCTCTAGTGATGATATCAAATCCATCCTTTTTTTCCATGGTTTTTTCATTTTTCTTCTTCCCTTTTCCCTTCCGTTTACAGTTTTACTCGTTCTCCATTGTTACGATTTGTTTGTTTTAGGAGTATGACTTGTGCTCCATCGTTTTCATTGAATAGCTAGTAACAGATTTGTATGAAGAAATGAAGGATTAAGCCAAAATTTTAGATTTTTAGATAGGTTAGTATTAGTGTGAGTAATGGATGTATCAGGTGGGTTAAACGAATCGTTGGACGGATAATTGAATTTTGGGTTAATTAATTGGTCAAATAAGATTGAACTGTAGGATTGTGCCACCTATCCCTGATTATTCTTCTGTTAGAGTGAAGGGCAAATATGCTCTGATTTTTAATGGAAGGGGTATCAATATCCGAAAAGTATGACAAAGGGTATTTGTGTACAATTTACGATAGTTCGGAGGTATATTTGTCATTTTTCCCTTATATATGAAAGGTTGTATAGCAAATATCTCTCTCATGTCTCCATTGCTCCTCTCTCTCTCTCTCTCTGCCTCTCACCCCTCTCTCTCCAACCCAAATAATTGCAGCCCAAAAAATATTCCACATAAATATGACAATTGTATTTTGTATTATGTATTTGTATTTCATATCAACTTTATTTTATACATATATCAATTGTATTCAGACAATTATATTTGTATTTTTGTATCAACTGTATTTGTATTCGTTATACAACGAATACAACATGTATTCATCCTCTCTCGATCTCGCTCGCCTCTCTCCTCCTATAATAAATACAATTAAATTTATTTTGATACAAATCAGTTGTATCAATTGTATTCGTGTGATACAATCTGATACAACGAATACAAAAGGTATTCAACCTCTCTTTCCTCTCTCTTCTCTCTTTCCCAGATCTCGCTCGTCTCTCTCCTAGTCTCGTTCACCTCTCTCCTCTCCCTAACATGTAACTATAATTTGTAATTAGCTAAACTATATTTATAGATCTCCAATTAAGCCCAAAGTATACTCATTTTTAAAAGTTTTCCATAATCAAAATAGGCTAACTTATTGTAAGTAGTATTTAAAACGTCTTAATATTCTTATTGTCCTTATTATTCTCTTCATTTTATTTTACTTGTATACAAAAATAGGTGTTTCATTTACTTGTCAAATTTAGAGTTTCAAAATATCATTAATAAGATTAGTTAATGTAACGATCCATTAGATCGTTTTGAGTATTAGAGCTTCTTATTTCATAAAAGACTCTTTTAATAAATTTTAATAGATATTTTGGACTATTCGTAACCAATTATATAATTAATTGAGTAAATATAATAATTAATTTATTTGGTGATTAAAGAAAATAATATTAAAACTAATAGTAGGCCATTTTCACCACTTTTATAATTGAACATGTATAATAATCAGGCCTCGGGTAGTAAATAATCTGTAGAAGAAAAGAAAAGAGGGGAAGAGGAAAATAATAGAAAGCGGCGAGAACAGAAGGAATGGCCGACGGCGGCTTCAGTTAAGCATAAGTTAGTGCTTCAACTTCTTCAACCTTTATAGAATATATAGTACTATTATATTCCTACATTATTATAAATATTTTCCTCTTAGAAGAAAGACATTGAAATATTTGGGGAATTACGTTGATTTGGGAATTGTGTTTATGTTAGAAATTGTTAAAATATATATATAATAGGTAATGATGACTTCTAGTGGGTGTCTAAGTGCACTAAGAATTTCATTCTTTTTGGTATCACATTGGTTCTGTTAGTATGAATGGATGTACATGTAGTGGTGCAAGTTGTTTTCGCAGCGAGTAATTGGTTTCACAACAGTGAGTTTTTGACTTCTAAATTATTTTAATTATCATATTATAAATTAAGTTTTGGGATATTAAAATAGGCAGTTAAATATTATGTGTATTGTATTATATGAATATTATTAGATTAAGTTATTTGGAGGAATATAGACTTAACCCAAAGCGTGAAATTTGAGACATATGAGACTTGATAAATTAGTTGATAGCAAAATTTAGGAATTTGATTATAGATTTGAATGAGTTACTGGGTCTAGAATAGACATGTAGTAATATGAGTGTCTATAGACTTGTTTGCTTATGAATATTGTGTACTTGATAGATTGGAAACGTTCGAAGGCATTGAGGAAAGAAAAGCATTGGGGAATTAGCTTGCTTGGCTTCGGTTCTTCGGTGGAGGTATGTTATGGTTTATTCTATGTGATAGTAGTGATTGATAGTCATTGAGTGATATTGTGAATTTTTCTATGCACTTGGTTGTTGTGGTTTTGATAATTTATGTGTTGTTGTGATTGGTCTGTAATCCCAAGACCACAAAATTCATAATCTTGAACTTGTCCAATTAAAGTGATGCCTTGAATGAAGAAGACTTCATGAAATATTATTAAGGAAGTGAAAAGAGATGATAAAGAATGACAAATGAATAAACTATATGGTTGGATCGGGTGCCACAAGCCGGCACGATATACTTGGATCGGGTGCCACGAGCCGGCACGGTATTATAGAATCGGGTGTCACGTTCCGACACAGTATTATTGGATCGGGTGTCACGTTCCGACATGATATTATTGGATGGGGTGTCACGTTCCGGCACGGTAACATTAAAGGAAAACATATTGAAATAACTTAATGTACTCAATCTCAAAAAAATTCATTTCCCAAATGAGCATGGTGTGGAGGCATGAGTCCTCGTGTGCGTGTTTGGTACTAGACTGATTACGTACTTGTTTCAGTTTTGTTGTCACTTGATCATATTGTTCATTGCTTACCACCTGCTAAGTGTTATAGTTGATTTCATGTTATTACATTATGCATCTCAGTTACTATTTTGAGTCGGTTGATGATGTCTACTCAGTACATGTTGCCTTGTACTGATCCCTACTTGTACTTTCTTCATTTTCCCTTCGTGGAGTACAGCGAGTGTACCAACGACTTTGACTCACCCTCAGCTCTAGCCAATCTCCAACATCAGGTTTCAGGATGAGTTATTCATTTTAGCTCGTGTTCGTTATTCTCAGTTATGACATGAAGTCCTTAGTTTTCGGACATAAACTATTTTATTCATTTATTTTGGGTCTTGATACTCTTAGACTTAGTATTTGGAGATTAGATGTCCTTGATGTGATGACTTTTAAGTTTTGGGGATAATATGTAATATAATCTAGAGGTTTCTTTTATTGGTTACTTTAATAAGTTTTGAGCTTCCGCATTATGGTTTGTATTTTGTAAATTCAACAATAAATATAAGTTGGGATTGAATTCGTTGGTTCACCCACCTAGGAGGTTAAATGTGGGTGCCCTCATGACTCATTTTGGGTCGTGGCAGTCAAGTAAAATATACTTCTAACTAAAATTTTCTTGAGGGTTGTGTCGAGTGTATTACACCACACCTTGTGAGAGTGGTGTTACACGTCTCAGGGTGGTATTAAATTCACTTTAGAGTAGTAAAGATGTTTAATAGATCACCATGATCGTTTAAGCATGTAAGTGACTTTTCGAATAAGTTCAGAAGTGAATTTATGTCTTTTCCCTATTTAATATTAAGCGTAGAAATAAAAAAAATATTAAAAAATTCTTTTGATTTCATAAATTGGACAAGTAAATAAAAATAACTATTTTTAGAATAAGGGTCAAGTAATATAAACGGCGGAGGCATTCTCTATTGTCTATATAAATAAACAAGTTTTGATTGACATTAATGGAGTATTACATAAATTATAGTTTAAAATCTGAATAAATACAATATGTAAAAATTTGACCATAATTAAATTAGTTATTGTGTTTCCTACATCGAACTATATTTGTATAGTTATTATTCTCTCTATTTTCATTTGTATAAATAAATATTAGAGTTTTGATTATTATAAATAAAATTAATTTTCTCATTAAGCTAATTTACTTCATTATTGAACATCAGTAAGTTATATATTTAATTAATATTTTTCACTGGAACATAACATTTAAAGTTATTTCCCAAAAATAAATGTAGAAATTATAAGTAGAAATCTTAGAAGAGATTTGTGTAATTTTCCATAAATGAAATTAGTTACAGGGATATAGTGTCATTAACTTATCAAAAATCTTAAAGACAGTTGTACACAGCAAACATATGACTACTACTAACATATATAAAATCATGCATTAATTACAAGGAACCCTTAACCTCATATATATATATATATATGACTAATATTGGACAAAATTTTATTCTTCATATAGAAGAGAGAAGCCACAATCAATATCTACATCAACAAAGAAATCATTTCCCTAATGGAAACAATTGTTAAATTTTGTTTCACTCTCCTTCTCCTTACACTTCTCACCAAAGGTAAATGCTTCTGCCTTTCTGATTTTTAGCAATAACTTGTATACGTATCTGTGAGATGCGTCTTTACTGGTGAACTATTGCACAGAAAAAAAAATACAAACAACCTTTCTTAGCATACTTTTTCAAGTGATATAAGGAAATAACCGTAGGAATTAATAAAAAAAGATTTATTAATTTATGAATAAATTATCATTTGTTTAGACTACTTCTAGCTACTTTAATTTTTTGTTATTCTTTAACTTGTCTAAATTGACCCAGACAAATAAATCAAATCAAGATGGATCTTTTCCCCCAAATAATTTTACAATGCAATATTTTCATTAATTAATGGTTACGTATGTCAAGACGAAATATATATTTCTTTTAATGTGGATGTCAAATTTTCTTTATTCATGGTAAAAATAATCTTTGATCATTTAAATGTCAAATATTTTGATACAAATTTAATTATTCAAAAACGACTAACATTTATTCAGGATTTTAAAAAAAGAGTAGCACATATACAAACAATACAATGGACAATTTAATTCTTTAGATCTGATTTTTATAGTCAAGACTACCATGATTAAACTACTAGTGAGGTAAAATTTATTTTGCGCATGAATTGTTGTCTGCTTCAGCCTGAACTCTCTCTTATATAATACAAGAATTTTTTGTTTGATTGTGTAGGTATTTGGAGTTGTGGTTTGAACAATATAACAATTGGAACAATAAGGAGTGGTGTAGAAATAAAGGGAATGCCAGAATGGAATGTGGTTGTGGTGAACAATTGTGATTGCCCCATGCAAAAATTGGTATTGTCTTGCTATGACTTTAAGACAACAGAGCCAGTGGATCCAACTATTTTCAAGCCTTTGGGAAACAATGCATGTAGTGTCAACAATGGCAATGCCATAAAAGGAAAGGATACTATCAAGTTTTCTTATGCTTGGGATCCTCCTTTTTTTCTTAGGCCAACTTCTGTTAATGCTACATGTTGAAACTATAATTTACTATATATGATGTTGAGGTAGATGTCGAGGGGGCGTTCAGCCACCTGACTGTATAATTATAATTTGAGTTTTAATGAGAGGATTCTAATATGTTCTCCTTTCACTTGTTGGACCTCATATGCACTTAAGCTTAAATGTTTTAGTTTAAAACGACTCTCTTGAACCATCTATTGAAATCCCAATTACGTACCCTTTACGATTAAAAATATATGTCTTTTTAATGGAATTATGAGATGACATATGTGAAACATTAATTAAATACGTAGGTGGTACGTACAAATGTATTAGTTCATGTGGATATTAGATTCAACCTATATAATTCGAATTTACTTTTTGGTATTGTTGAAGCTGAATTTCTATGAATCCACTATTGTCAATGGATGAAGAAGCTAAGTTGAAACTAGATCTAAAATAAGTCTAAGGAAGAACCGGTACAAACAAATTGTTTTCGTAGTTGTTTTGAGTTAATTCAAATAAATCATTTTATTTATGATTGGGTCAAATGAACTAATGTCACTTGTTTAATGAAAGTGATTTTTTCAAAAATATACTATCCAACACAAACTATTATTATTACCTGTGTAGCTATATTTTTAGTTTAAACCCGCATAGTTAATTTTTTTCACAACAGTGTTTATACATGATATACAATAATATATACAAACCGTATACAATATATCAAGCTGGTATAACAGTGAACAATAGTGTATAAATAGACTTTTACATCATTATACAATATTTGTGTTTCTGTTTTTGGAGATGAAAGAGGAAAAGAGGTGGCAAATTCTTGTTTGAAGTCAAAAGCCAAAAGTCAAATATGTACGGAGTGAGCTAGGGAAGCTAATGAAGTTGCGACTAGCTCCTGAGTTTCGAGTTATAAATGTGTGCAATAACATAATAGCGAACCCTATGGCGTGCCATACAAAATTAGGGTCAGGTATGTGTACATCCTACCCTCCCTAAATCTTACCGTTAGATTGAACTGGTTATGTTATTGTTATGATTTGCCTTCATTTTCCAGTATTCTCTGTTTTCACAGACTTCATTTGTTTCTAGCATTTGTAGGTCGATCCTATCCTATTATGACTCTTGTTTAAATACTACTATTATAGAAGCATGAGTCAAATAATTTGGTATCAACATGTTAGTTTATTGTCATTAAATTTCTACTTAGGGATAGTTTGGACTTTTTCATCATATTTGCAATATATTTTCCTAACACAATTAACGTGAATGTTGTTATACGTGGGAGTGAGGAGTTAAGGGCAGTTTGTTTGCACTATGTAGGTTACAATTAATATTTTCATTCGTTTCAAATTATTTGTTTGATTTTAAATCGACATAAAATTTAAGAAAGTAAAGAATAATTTTGAAATTTATGATATTAAACTAAAGATATGTAGAATGTATCAAAATTTTCATTAATCTTGTAATCTTAAACATGTGATGTAGAAAGTTAATGTACCAAAATGTCCTTTAATCTTGTGGTCTTAAACATATGAAGTGGAAAGTTGAAAATAATTAATTGTTATCAACAGGGGAAAATGTATTTTTGTAAACAAACTAAAACGAAAAAACAAACAAAAAAAATTACTAAAACAGAGAGAGTGTATCTACAGAATAGTTCTTATGATTTGTCGTTTAAAAAATTTAAAATATATGATGGATAGCATATCAATTGACCTAACACAATTGATTGACATAAATATTCAAATTACAAAACATGTAGAATTTTTATGTGCTTGCTTATACTAATATTTTTTAATTTGAATTTATTAAGTGGCATTTGCTCTATGTTCACAAGAATGAATTGTACTATTAGGGATCGTTTGATACGAGAATGGAATAGACAAAGTTATTCCATGGGATTGAAATATCTTATGAGATTAATTAGTTTATTATATATATGCGATAATTTATTTTATCATTATAATACAAATGAGATGAATAATCTTGAGACTAACTAATATGACTAATCAAACTCATAATAAAATGATCTTGCATATCCTCATACCAAACAATCATTAATACATTTAATCTCAATTTGTTGGACCGTACTTGCACGGGCATATAACACCTAATTTAAACAATAAGCAGCATGACTTTCAAGATAATTATGTAGCCATGGAAAAAAAATCATTTTTTCTATTTTTCGGCTATATTGCACAGACTTTATGTTTTATACTTTTTCTATATTATTTTTAAATTAAGTAACTAGATAATATAGGAGTAATAATAATAATAGTAGTAGTAGTAATAATCAAATTTAGAATTCTAAAGAATCATTAATAAAATTATTTTAGTAAAATACACATCTAATTAAAGTTTTCTTAAAGAGTGTGTCAGGTCAATAAGGATCAAGTAATATGAAACGTAAGAAGTGCTTTTTAGTAAACTTATCATTTTACCAATCATTTTTAAGTGTGTGTCAAGTCAAACATGAACTAATAAAAATAGAAAGTTTAAAATAGAATTAATTTTTTTTTTTTCATTTTTATCTTTAGTAGTAACTTTTCTTAACCACCACAAACACCTCAATTATGACACAAAAAAAAAAAAAAAAAAAGAGTAAGAGCCAGTTTAGATTTTTGTTAGTTTATCAGTCAAAAGTAATAAACTATAAATTCTAACTCCGATTTTAAACTTATTTTAATCATTTTAGCTTAAAACAATGTGCTTATAAACACTTTTTTTTTTTATTTACCCAAACACTCTAGAAGTGCTTTAAAGCTATTTTGACTTACAAATACTGAAAATAAGTTAATCCAAACGGGCTCTAAATAATATTGCATGAAAAAATTATATCTTATTAAAACATAAATAATGATAATAGTCAAACATTACTTCTGATTAATATTTTCTTAAAAGACATATATATGAAAAACACAAGTAGTATTTTGAGATGAAGGGGGATATGTATATGATCCACTTTTGATGCTCCTAATTATAATCCATCCATCCCATATTAATTATCATGTTTCTTTTTCACATATTCCTTAAAATATCATAATTAAAAATATATCTTTGCTCCCTTTGTCCCATGCTATTTTTCATGGAGAAACATAATTTGGCGATAAGGTTTATTGTTAATCTCTTATTTATAACTATAGAAAAAAAAAAAAAATTATGAGGAACGGCGAGAGCTATAGTTAAATAAGATAAATCTTGCTTGACTCTTACTCTTTATATTTAAAAATATTTTATAAGTAAAGGTCTATGAAATAGATTTAAAAATTATAGTATTATAAAAGGTTTTTAATTTTATTTTTTTTGATATTATTAGGATAATATAGATATTTGTTAAGCTGCTTTGTTGTTACTAACAAAAGGAACAGGACTTTAATAGAGGTCATATAGGATAGTCGAGAGACAATTTGAGTAATGGACTTCATTTTCGCTTATCAAAAGTTAATAACTAATCTTTAAAGTTAAATTTAATTTGATTAATAACTCTATTTTAAAATCAAATTTATATAATTAAAAAATATATATGAGAAATATTAAAAATTGTAATTTTTCTCATGTTAATATAATAAGAAATACATTTTAAAATATTAAGTAAATTTCACATAATTTAAATCTCAACAAATAAAAGAAAATGTTGCATAAATTAATGGAAGGAATATGAATTTATGTAAGTGTTTATGAATATTTTTTTCGTTTTTGGATTCCATCAAAACAACACCAAGACACCTTATATTGCATAAATTAATGGAAGGAAAATGAGAAAAAAAAAACAAGAGATAATTACATTATAGTGTAACTCATAAAATTACAATAATTTAGTTAAGGTTTTCAATACTTACCTAAATTGGCTCAATTTTATGTTTTCCTCCATAATAAAACTCCATCATTGCTATCAATTGATTCTTATTAATATTTCTTTCATAAATTCACATTAAAGGCATCTTATTTTTTATACTTTCTACCATAAAAAATTGGGATTGAATTTCTATTCCAAGAATCATCTCAATAATTCACTTTCGATCTCCATCTCAATAGACTTATCAAAGACATTTATTTCCCACCTTGCTTCATAATGAAAGTCCACTATTGCTAACATATTCTCATTAAAAAAAACTCTACAAACTCAACTGAGGATTGATGTTCAGCCATTGTTAAAGTTCGAATATTCAAAGTTTGATAATTGATTTTTTGCGAACAAACTTTGTTTCGAGTGGACATTGTTGCAAAAGATCGATTATGTATTGAGAAGTATAATTCTAAATTTTGGGTGATGGTGAAGTTTTTGAGATGTTTTGAAATGAATTTGGTACTTGTATATGAATGTATAAATACCTCTTATAATTTTTGTATACCGGATATATAATCTTGTATATCAAGTTTTTAAATATTTTTATAAAAAAAAAATACATGAAAGTTCTGTATGTTATTTTATTTCGGATGTATATTAGTGCATATCGAATTAAGTTAGGTCATATTTTTACAATATAAGTTAAGTAATTGTATTTTTATAAGATATGTTCAAACATAATTCACTAGGATCTAATTTTATAGCTATGTGGTGAGTGAGCTTTGTCTACTACGCTTCTTGTCATCGCGTTTCTTCACCAGAGAGGCCATGTTCATTGGCCATATAAGTCAACTACGATGAGGACAAAAGGATTCTAGATCCTTCTTTTAAATTCCTCTTTTTTAGTTTCTTGTTTTTCAAGTTTATTTTTCTTCATTTTTGTTTTTAGGTTTGGGCTCATTATTTGGGCTAAGACAAAATTCATATTTTATTTTAAAGAAAAAATTTCATAAATAGCAAAGAGCTTAAATTTAATTACATTCTATAACTATAATTTGTTTAGTTACGTTTCATATTATAGTTTTGTTTGCTATGGGTATTTTTGTTTGTCAATATACAAACATGGTAAGTATATACAAATTTTGTATTAATACATTAAAAAAAAAATCAGAACTTTGTTTGTATATTTCGCTTGCCAATACACAAAAGGGGTAATTTATTATGAATTCATAACTTATACAAATCAAATGTAT